TATGTTGTGTTGTATGTTGTATTATGTCCTGTCCTCCTCTCCTCTTTTCTTGAGACAGGGTCTCACTATGGAGCACTAACTGGCCTGAAACTCTCTATGTAGACCAGGCTGGCTTCAAATTCAAAAAAGGATCCACCTCCCACTGCTGAGATTAAAGGCATGTGCCACTACTCCTGGTTCCACTTTAGTTTTGAGACAGAATCTCCTACTGAATCTAGAGCTCACCAATTTGGCTAGGCTGGCCGTTCAGTGAGATTAGGGATCTGCCTGTCTATCTCCCCAGGGCTGAGATCATGGACACACTTTACCATGCCTGGCTTTTTTCATTGGTGCTGAGCATCTGCGCTCAGGTTCTCATGCTTGAGCAGTAAAGCACTTTACCCACTGAGCTATCACTGCAGCCCCAACACTGATATTTTCTATTTCATTTTTTTCAAAGAGTTAGTCATGGCGCTGTGAACTGTGACCTGAATTTGGAAAACACTTCATTCACTAAGTTATACTATTTGCCCACTTACTTTTTTATTTAAGAGTGTACAGGGACTGGAGAGATGGCTCAGCAGTTAAGAGCACTTGCTGCTCTTGCATAGAATCCAGGTTCTGTTCCCAGCACCTTTATGGTGGCTAACAACTATTCATAATGCCAGTTACAAGGGATCCAACGCCCTCTTCTGGCCTCCACAGGCAATGTGTGCATATGATGCACTTACATACATGTAGGTGATACATTCTACATGTAAAATAAACATAAATGAATAAAAATTTGCAAAAAAAAAAAAGTGTACACGCTTCACCTGGTGGTTCAGGCCTATTAACTATTTGGGAAGCTGAAGCAAGAGGATTAATTAAAAAATGAATGAATGAATGAAATAGTGGAGGTCCTAGATTCAAGGTACAGGACTGGAAATAAAAATACACCTTATCTGTAGCAGTCAGGGTACCAGATGTTAGTGTTAATTCTTTGAAATTTAACTGCAAAGTAACTTTGGCTAGATGTAATTGAAGGGTCCTGCTACTTTTATGAAATAGGAGCCTAAATTTTATAAAATTCTAGTTAGATTAATTGACTACATTTGCTTTTAAATATCTTTGTTCATACTTTTTTTGTTCCTGCTAAATGATGTGAAGGTGAAAACATCCATTTATTTAAGCAGACACATATCAGTAGTGCTCTGAAAAGATGTCACTAGGTAGAGATTGGTCAGATTGTGTTAATCCTCTAGGCCAACTTCATCAGCTGCTGTAGTCATCATTTTCAGTCTTTCTTTTGAATTGGTCATTTCTCCATGTGAGAATTATAGTCTGTTCATAAAGACTTTGAGCTCTGGATCTGTTCTTATCTGTCTCAGTAGGAGTTGGACAAAACAACATCCAGCATGATAGTACTTGTTACCCACAACAGAATAATTTCTGATTACTAAAAAATTCTTAAGATTGCTCCTAAGGTTTGGAAGACTGTACTGAAGGCCAAGTGTGTATTTTTCCCCAGCAATACTCATGTTTTAATTACAGTGACTTTAGTTCTTGTTTCTTAAGCTTTCTTTTCACTGCCACTCCTCTATTCTTGGACATTTCTGTTACCTACATGCCCATGAGATCTGTCTTTTACCTCTCTTGCATATTTCATGTAGCTGTGAGATTAATAGTTTACTTACTACTTACTGCTGGCTACCATCAGTAACCAGCAATATTTAAAACTCTTGGAAACCGCTGGACACTGTAGCACACACTGGTAATTCCAGCACTCAAGATGTGGAGACAAAAAGATGAGGAGTTCAAAGACAGCTTCAGCTATGTGAGATCTGCCTCAAAAAAAACCCAAACAACAGAAACACAACTATTTGCAGAGTAATGTTATAGTTAGATAATGGCTTTTAGGTATAGAAGGGTAGGGTAATTAATATAACCTGATTATAACTCTGGATTGTTCCGTGTAGCTCTTCTTGAGAGTTTAGTGAAGCTTAGTGAATTGTATGTGTGTGTTAGAAAGGAGTTATGATACTTCTCAGTAGACCCCAGGTGAAGCGGGATTTCCAGCACCAAACTTAAGGCATGAATCTTTATGCTCACTGTTTCTTCTGCCTATGTGTGCTCCTCCACCATCACTTGTTCAACTGGTGGGTACTTATATTTCAGAATTTGCCTCTTCTAGGAAATCTATCATTGCCTTTCCCTGCTATCAACTCAATTGAACACCTCTTTTCTATGCTAGTTTAATTCTTCAGACTTATTTTTTTCTTATAAGAAAAGACAGTTTATCTATGGTATTATCTGGCACTTTGTAAAGCTCTTTTGTGCTGATATAGGAAGAAGCTAGAGCTTTTTTAAATTTATAGGTAATTTCATTAATTCTCACAATAATACCTTGAGGAAGGTAATATTGTCCATTTTATAGAACAGAAACTGAGGTACTTCTAGAGGGAATATGAACTTGTCACAGAGACACAGCTAGAAGTTGACAGAGCCTAAAACCAAAGAAATCTGATTCAAGAACCCAAGTTCACTACTCTCCTTCCCACTGTGGAGCACTGGCTGTCCTGGAACTGGCTGTATAGACCAGGCTAGCTTTAGACTCACTGTATCAGGCTAATCTTGCATTTACAGAGATCTGTCTGCCTCCCCGAGGTGCTGGGATTAAAAGCATGTGTCACTACACCCAGCCAGGAGCCCATTTTTTTGTGTTTTTTTTCGGGGGGGGGGTTGCTTTTTAATTTAAAAAATTTATTTAGCCTGGGCATGGTGGTGCACACCTTTAGTCCCAGCATTCAGGCAGCAGAGGCAGGCAGATCTCTGTGCGTTCAAGGCCTCTACATAGTTCCAGGCCAGCTGGGGCTACAGGGAGACCCTGCCTCAAAAGACACACACACACACAAAAATTTTTTTTTGTTTTATTTTATGTGAGTTTTGCCTGCAGGTATATAAGTGCACCCATGAATGCAGTGTCCATGGAGGCTAGAAGAGGGCATTGGATCCCCTGGAACTGGAGTTAAAGATAGTTATTGGTGGCTGTATGGGTGCTGGGAACTGAACCCAGGTCCTCTGCAAGAGCAGCCAGTACTTTTAACTTCTGAGCCATCTCTCCAGCCTCAGGAACCCAAATTCTTAATTTAATTGTTCTGCCTTTGTTTCAGATCTCTTCGTAGTCAAGAGTTGTCTGCCCCCTTCCTTTCTCTCTGTGGACCTTCACATGAACTCTGTCCTCCTACCATGCCATGTTTATCTATCTGTTCACCTAATCCTAATATTTTCTATTAAGTTTGAAGTTCAATAGTTTAAAATTTCTGAATTGTCTTTCCATCCCGCTTTTTTCTCTTACTCTTGAAACATGGAGCAAGAGATGACAATTTCAGTAGTTTTTACTTGAGTGCTTGGTATCCCCCCCCCCTTATTTTGTCATTTTCCCAAATCATGACTTGGCAACTTCCAATGATAACCAGTGAGGCATTTTTTAAATGTTCCTATGAACTTACTGGTTTTTATATTTGAAATGTTTGGGTTTTATTTATTAGTGTTTACATGGGTTTATGCATGCATGAAGGTCAGGACAACATTTGAGAGTTGGTTGTTTCTTTCCACTATGGGTTCTAGGCACTGAATTGAGATCATCAGACTTGTGTTTGGCAAGCCCTTTTACCCACTAAACCATCTCACAGGTCCTATGTTTGAAATGTTTTAATCCATTGCCTTTCAGTATTCTTTTTGATGGATAGATTGCTCCGTCTTAGGCTAGTGAGAGGCTTTTATGTTGCCATATAGTTTCTTTTGACATGGCTCCATTATTAGTTTGGATAGCACAACAAAGCTCTTCTAGTTTGTTTTCTGTTTTACTTGGAATCACCTAATTTCCCTAAAGTGTTCTAGCCCCTGCTCATAAGAATTGTTTTTAAGGTACTTAATCTGAGTCCTGCCACTACCTCTGATCAATATAAACATTCAGTTTCTCTGGTTAAATTAGGGTGTTTTCTCTTCCCAGACTTTTTTTTTTTTTTTTTTTTTTTTAACATGTTGGTGTTTTGTGGATAACTATTTTCATTCAGGGTCTCAAATTTCTGTCACAGTTCTATCCTCTGTTCTTATCAACTACAGCTGCTGTGAGTTTTTGTCTGGATTTGCTAGTACTTATTTGCATAATTTCCTTTCCACTATGTTTTAGGAAGAATAAATCCAAATTAAGAAAACTGAATTAATAGGTTAAGAACACTGAACTGGGGCTAGAGAGATGACTCAGTGGTTAAGAGCACTGGCTGCACTTGCAGAGGACCCGGGTTGGATTCCTAGCACCCACATCACCAGCAGCTAACAACTTTCTATAACTCCAGTTCCAGGGGAATCCAACACCCTGTTCTGAACTCCACAGACATTGCACAACATGGATGCACTTACACACATGCAGGAAATACACTCATGCACATAAAGTAAGAATAGTAAATAAAATTTATTTTTTAAAAAAGAACACTGAGTTGGCTGGGCGTGGTAGCACATGCCTTTAATCCCAGTACTCGGGAGGCAGAGGCAGACAGATCTCTGTGAGTTCAAGGCCAGCGGTCTACATAGTGAGTTCCAGGTCAGCTGGGGGTACAGGGAGACCCTGTCTCAAAAAGACCAAAAAAAAAAAGAACACTGAGTTACTGGACTAAAAGCACCAAATCATCAGAAATAGTTGTGAAGTTTCCTTTGAAGTAGGTTCACTATTTGGAATGCTATAGACCTCGCAAATATAAAACTTCAGTGAAGCATAAACAGTCCTCTGGATGGTTTTAGATATAAAACAGAAATACAGGCTAGACCACAGTTTCTGGTCTGATTAAAAGACAAAAACTAGCTAAACAACTCTTTCCAGAGTGGTAATGGTTAAATCAGATTGGAGAGGCACTTCAGTGGCTTGCCAGGTAGCCTGAAGTTGATAGTATTTTTGATCTGCCCAGAACAGGGTTGGCTATTTTATGAACCATGAGCTTAAACCCTTTATTTCCACTATGTTCTTACTTGAACATGTTCAGTTTCTGTTCCAGATGATCGAGCTGAACAACGAACCTGTCTTATTTGTGGAGACCGTGCTACAGGCTTGCACTATGGGATCATCTCCTGTGAGGGCTGCAAAGGTTTTTTCAAGAGGAGCATTTGCAACAAACGGGTATATCGGTGCAGTCGTGACAAGAACTGTGTCATGTCTCGGAAGCAGAGGAACAGGTGCCAATACTGCCGCCTGCTCAAGTGTCTACAGATGGGGATGAACCGCAAGGGTGAGTTGGTGCTCAGGGCTCTCATTGCCCACCCTTCACCCATCTCTTTGCCTGTAGTTCAGTTATAATACTTTGGAGTTATTCTTTCTCCATGTCTGCACTACACTGCAGCAGGCCTTGGGCTGTGTACTCATAACTTCAAAATTAATCTGGCTCATTTCCTATCCATGAAACCTTCCCATTCTAGTCTAGAAAGACTGGTGAGATGTTACAGATTCTCTGGGAGTAATTGCATAGGGCCTGTGTATGGGAAGAGCCTAGTTAACATTTAAATCCTAACTAGCATTAATAAACTCCATGAATTTTTTAAGGAATAATGACAAAAACTAAGAATTTAAATGGAAATGCATCAAGTAGGATGTCCTGACTTGATGTCATTTGTGTACTAGAAACATGGCATACTCGGATAGTAGGTGTGTTCACAGAAGTCTCTCCAGCTAGTAGTTAGGGTTTGAAGTTTATTTGGGAAGCTTTCTGAGAGTCATTGGCCTGAGATGACATGAAGAGACTTTGAAGGGTTCAGCAGAGGAAGCTGAAAAGCCACCTAGGAATGTGCAGAGCAACCAAAGGAGAGAAGAGGACAAAGGGGTACTGGTAAGGGGTGTTGAAGAAGCTCACCTCGTAGGAGTTGTTAGACAAACGTTACTGGGCAGCACCAGAAATTGAAGGTAAAGATTTGGGGTATAGGAAGAAGATCAGGCTAACAAGCAGGCAAAATGACTTTGGCAGTGCTATTTGAGGAACTTTGGGACACAGAGATTTCTTCCAAGAAGTTGAAATGTAGATTTGGAGCTGGAATGAAAAGTCCTGTCTATGGAGCTATTGGCATAGGTTTGTACCCCCAGAGAATTTGGGTACAAAACAGAAAAGGCCCACATCAAAATCCTGGAGGTATTCTCACAGAGAGTAGAGTAGGGCAGTGACATTTAATAGAAAGAAGAGGGGCTGGACAGTTGGATGAAATAATGATGTTCATACAAAATCTGGAAGAAGAGTTCAGTAAAATGTTAGAAATACTGGGTAGAGGAGGATGTGCTGAAGATGGCTTAGAGGTTAAGAGTACTTGGTGCTCTTGCAAAGGACCTTGGTTTGGTTCCTAGTATACACATGCCTGCTGACAACTCTCTGTAACTCCAACTCCAGGGGATCTGACACCATCTTTTGGCCTCTGCAGGCACCAGGCACTCACATGGTGCACATTCATACATGCAAACAAAACACACTTTTTTTTTAAAAGAAAACACTCTTCCTAGCACTTGGGAGGCAGTGGCCGGCAGATCTCTGTGGATTGAGTCCAGCCTGGTCTCCATAGTGAGTTCCAGGCCATCTGGGGCTACAGAAAGACCCTATCTCAAAAAATCCCCAAAACCAAACAAAAACAAAACAAAAATAAAAACCACTGGGTTAGTGAGATGGCCCAGTAGGTAAAGGTATCTGCCACCTGAGTTTGTTCCCTAGGAACTACATAGTGGAAGGAGAGAACCAGCTCTGGCAAATTGTCCTCTGACCTCCACACACGTACCATGGCACTGTATCCCTACCCCTCCCCCGCATACACACACAAATAAATGAACAAATAAGTGTAATTAAAAAAAATTAAAAAGTTAGAAATGCAGGGACTGGAGAGATAGCTCAGCAGTTAACACCAAATGTTCTTGCGGAAGACCCAAGTTCGAATCCTAACACCCGCATGGCAGCTAACAACTGTCCGTAACTACAGTTCCAGGGGATCCAATGCTCTCTTCTGACCTCCATGGGCATTGCATGACACAGGTGCACTTACACACATGCAGGCAATACACACGTACACATAAAATCAAAATATAAAATATTTTTTAAGAGTTAGAAATGCCAAAAATAAACCAAACTTAATTACCAGAAATGAAAAACATTGGACAAAAAGGGGGATCTTTTAAAAGCCTGACTGTATGAAGAAAGGTAATAAGAAAGGGCTGGCAAGATGGCTCAGCAAATGGCACTTGCCACCAAGCCTGATGATCTAAGTTCAGTCACTGGAACCTACATGATGATAGGCGAGAACCAACTCCTACCAGTTGTCTTCTGACTTATACACATGTACCATGGCCTATACACACCCACATATGTAGGAGAGAGAGAGAGAGAGAGTGTGTGTGTGTGTGTGTGTGTGTGTGTGCACGTGTGTATACACACAAATATATAAAAGAGAGGTGAGTTATAGAACATTTAGATAAATTTATACATCTTATGACTTATGATATTTACTGAGCACTTAGATGTACCATAAACTCTTCTGTACTTTTCATGCATTCTACTGTTGAATATATAATGTCCTGTAAGCTCTTAACTCCAAGTTTATGCATGCAGCTTAAGTAGGTAGAATTACTTAGTACTAGTTGGCTTAGGGATGGTTATGGTGACAGTTAATTTTCATTGTAATGTTATTAAGCAGAGCTGTGCCTTTGTGAATTCTCTTCAGCCATAAAAGGGCCTCACATCCTTCTGCATATGCTCAGTTTCCTTCTACCTGGAAGTCCATTCTCTTCCCCACTATTACTTTCCTCTTACAGAAATCTTTCTCAGTCACCAAATTCACCACTTTTCTCATCTTCCTTCATTGTTCTCACTGGTTTTATTTTGGGGTGTGTCTGTGAGTGTTTGCCTTTCTGTGTCTGTGTGTGTTTGGATTTTTCCCTGCCTTTCTGGACATCAAACCCAGGGCCTATACATATTGAACATACTACCACTGTATATATTTTATCAAAGCACAGTTATGGGATACCTTCTTGACTTTACTCACGGACGAATTATCCTGGATATTTAGTTGGCGTGGAGATTCTGAGCTTCAAGTCAAACTCATCTGCTTTAGGGAAGAAGAAACAAACTCCTCTGACTGTAAGCCTGAAGATTGACACATGAGAAAGTTGCCTAGGGAAGGCTGCGTTTGGGAGAGAAACCCTGCCACCTTCTGGTTGATGCTGAGAAAGCAGGACTAAAATTACACTTGCTGTGGGAATATTTTGAAGATGAATATCCTCTGTAAAACTTTTATGGTTGATGCATAATTCTATACATTTTTCAAAAACTATATATATATTCTCCATCCTAGAATGTGAATTTTACTGGGTATAAAAAATTCAAGCTGAGGGGCTGGAGAAGTAGCTCAGGGGTTAAGAGCACAAGATATTCTTCAAAGGACTCAGGTTCAATTCCCAGCACCCTTGTGGTCACTCTGTTACCCTCTTCTGGCCTCCACAGGCACTACATACACATTAGGTATACATATAGGCAAGCAAAACATTTGTACAAATAAAATAAAATCATTTTTAAAAATTTAAGCTGAATGTGTTAGGATGAAGGCAGGGGATGAGAGATGGAACGCACATTGTGACGATGAATTAATGTAATTGATATTAAAATGAATCCCATAACTACACTGAGGTGGAAGGGAGGAAAGGAGTTGGCCTTGGAAAACAGTGTTTTGACTGCATATTGTAAAGGTAAAGACAAAAAGTATTGCATTCAAACAAAGGACTCTGATTTGTGAAATTGTTTCTCTCAAGGTTACATGTTAGGAATTCTGTCTTACTTAAATTGAATACTGTGGTTGAATAAGCAAATAAATATATTATGGATAATGAGAGTCAGATTTTTTGTATTAGAGAAAAAAGTTATAAATCGGGAAAGGGGAAGGCTAGAATGAAACTTGGGGTGCTAAGTCAGATTTATTGGCATCACTATGGGACTCGTTTCTGAATGGATGGATGGATAGATGACAGAGAGATGGGGGTGAGTTAGTATACATGCGTTTCTGAACTCTAACCACCGCAATAAGGTAGAAGCAGCAATAGCCCAGTAGCAATGGGTATATCTCGCATCCAGCTTTTGTCTTCTAAATAAAGGAGTGAGGTCTCCATGGAGAACTAGTTGATTTCAGGGCTGGAACAGGAAAAATTTTAAGCCTAGAATATCTTAGAATATTTAAAAGTAGTAGTCCTTTCTGAGAGTGGTTGGGGGTGCTGCATGTGCTCATACTAAAAAAAAAAACTGATTAAATAAACACAAGTGACCATTATAGAAGAATTCCCATGAGGAAATACAGAGGCTATGAGGAAAATGAAACTTAATGTCAGAATGCCACAGTAAGATCTCCTGAGAGATTCCTACTGAAGTGTGAGCATTGATTTAAACAAAATGGAGTATTTGCATAGTCTAAAAATATTTAATAATTGCAGAGGGAACAATTGTTTCCGTAGAGAATTCTACTTTAGCTAGGATGTACTTTAGCCAAATGATCAAGGTTATTATCACCAGTAAAACATACCAGCATTATTTACTGGTAAGGTGATACTGAGAAGAGCTCAGGCACACATTCAGGTGTGTACACAAAGCACTAAGTTCATTCTCCTACTAATCATAAGAAAACAGATGAGCCTATATCAGACATTTTTCAAACTCATATTCTACCAGATACTCTTGAAAAGTGTCAAGATCACAAAAGACAAAAATTGAGGAGTTGTCACAGATTGGAGAAGACTATAGAAACATGATTTCTAAATGCAATGCTAGTTCTGATTTGGCTTCTGAGTAGAAAAGACATCAGTAGAAAACAAAATCCACAGAAAGCCTTTGCTTGGGTTAAGAGTAGTGCACAAAATTAATTTCTTAGTTTTGATGAATAGTCTGTGATTATGCAAGGTATTAACAGAAGGATAAAGCTAGGTATAGAGCATATGGAAACTGTTTATAACCATTTTGCTATTCTGTAAGTCAACCTTACCTCAAAATATACAAAGGAGGCTGGTGAGATGGCTTTTGCCACCAAGCCATCTTAGTGACAACTTTAGTTTGATCACCAGACCCACATGGTAGAAGAAAACCAACTCCCACAAGTTGTTTTCTGACCTTGACTTACATGACACATGCCTACACAGACACAGACATAGACACAGACACACACACACTAGGTAGATAAATGAATAAATTTAATGCAAAAAGTGTGTATGCATGATATGATGGGG